TATGGATAAAACTTGCATTGACTTTAACAGAAGTTCAGTGCACAGATCAAAGGCAGTGTGGACCTAAGGGCTTGAGTCTGGTCTCAGATGCCATTATAAATAATGCTGTATGCTTGGAGCCAGCAGCAGTGTCTAGCACTGTTGTACACTGTACTGTAAACAGAGATAGCTATAAAATTGCATTGCATGAAGTTGAATCCAGCATCTGTTAAACTGTAGTTTCTTGTGCACGTTGGTCTATATGAAGTAAATACTGAAGAGATGCTGTAGAGAGGCTTGTGTGGCTGTATCATATATCTTCTAGAGCTTGATGCTGCAATAGGCACGGCAGCAGTTATTAGAATATATGTGGTAATGCACACCAGTTTTATCTGGGATTAGAATTAAGATTCTAAAATGTTATTTAACACTTTGTTCCATCGCATAATTTCTCATTTCTGATCATGAAACTCAAGCTACACCGCATGGTATATAAATTGTAGGGAACACCTTAGGCCAAAGCATGTAGTGTTTTTGATCGGTATATGGAATGCCTATTGATGCCAGCTGGAGCGATGCATGTGGATCAAGGGCAGCATAGAATCCTAAATTGGAACACAAGCCGCAGTTGAAAACCATTGTAAACAATGAGCTCTGTGGTGTCCTCCAGTCTGTGCAGGGGACAAAGGAGCAGGCATTCTGGCCGCATGTTACGCTGATTCATAGAAGCAGCAGTCTGCTCTCCTCCCTCTGCCTGAGCCCATAGAAGCCCTCTGGTGCTCAAACATGTGTTTGAGCTCCCCTGGTGTGTGAGAGGTAGAGATCCAGGGAACAACCACTCCACGGAGCATATTGCCCAGGGGGAAATACTTTTACAGGCAAAAAACACAGCAGAAGTTAATGCTAGTGCAGGCAGACTTAACTTTCATTCTTCACCTTGTACCGCTGTCAGAGATGAGAATGATAAGCAAATAGAGCAGTGGGAGTAGTGGTCGCTGGGCTGCTAAACAAGCCATTCTACCTATGGGGTGGAAGGAATCGGAAATTACATTGAGAGGCTAGTCATCCACATGGGAGCCCCAGCATGTGCAGGTTTGGAGTCAGAATTCTCCCACTGATCCTTGGTTCTTTGACTGACTTGCCATACACCCTAATTCCTCAACCATATCAAAACTTCCACTTCATTTTTCCTCTTTGTTAGTTTGGTTGGGGCCGGAGGGGGGGGGGTGGGCAGGAGAGAGAGAGAGAAACATTTGGGCTGATATGATCTAAAATCCTTGTTTAATTCACATTAACCTCATGAAGCCTGCAGTTAATATGTAAATCATAAAGTTATTCCCGGTTCAAGATAATTAAGTTCTGAAGAACTGGGTAACTAAACATATTCCTGAATGCAGATTGAGAATCTGAAACTCTGGTCTGTTTGGGCACCTTTGTGCCAGTCTCCTCACACAAAACTGCCTTCAAACTGGCAGATCAAGCCAGTAGAGATTTCCCCTGCATATGGAAAGCCTTAGCTGGTGTGGACCCCTCATAGGGGCTCCTACATCACCCACTCCTTGCGTCCAGCTCAGGAGGTAAGGCTGGGAGAAAAAGGATTTCCTAGCAGTCTGTGGCAGATGCAAAGGCACTGGTGGCTGATAGCAGGCAATAGAGAGGTCACCGAGATATTCCTGGACACGGGGGGTTCAGTGATATAGCATAGGGAGATCTGTTACAATTGGCCGGACGTTTTTGGAAATGAGGGAGTCCATTTGTCAGATGAAGGTGCTGACATATGGCTCCAGGATGTGAGGGAATGGATTGGACAGGAATTGTGATACCAGGCAGTGTGGCAGGATTTGGGAGGGGGAGTGACCAAGCTAGTCACTCAGGTGAACCTACCCTGCGTTATGGGTTATATGATAAGGAGCCTTGTAACCCTGGTGCCAGTGATGGGTTATATGGTGAGGAGCCCGGTAACTCCCCCACACTGGAACCAATTAAATGCCTGGTATAGGAGAGTATGGGTGATGAGTGGATACTGCCCCTCCCTTGTGTTAAAAGTTTAATAGAAGCTGCGGCCTGCCGCTTGACTCCAGGAATGTGCCTGTCCTCATTCTGTAGCTTCAATACTTTTGGTAACTGAAAAACAATTCTATAGCAGTAAATGAGCCCAAAGCCACAAAAGGATGTAAGCATTGTGATGTTACAATTCGCAGCACCTAACTTTTTGGGTGCCTAGAAAATTACAGAAACAGCACTATGATCCACAAAGCCTGCATTAGGCACCTAGGTTCCGAAACAGTGAATGGGGGGAGATAGGCAGCTAAAAATGTGATCCAGAAAGGCAGCATGCTGGAAGGAGCGGCCTAAGCTAGCCAGTAGGAGATACTAACCAGAGGCAGGGCCAGATGTACACCTTACACACCCCAAGGCACAGCATCTTCAGCGCCTGCCCCCCGCATACAGGGGACCTTCGTGTTGCACACAGTTTTCGAGAGGTAAGGTGCCCCTTGAACACCGGCGACCCCTTGGCACGTGCCTAGGGTGACCAGATGTCCCAATTTTATAGTTCCAATTTTTGGGTCTTTTTCTTATATACACTCCTATTACCCTCCACCCCCGTCCCGATTTTTCACACTTGCTGTCTGGTCACCCTACATGTGCCTACTGGAAATCCGGCCCCAACCAGAGGGGTGTGTGCTAAGTCCTTAAGTCCAGGCTGCAGGGAAGTGACTATCTCTGCTTGCTATTGGTGAACCAGGGGAAGATAGGCGGCTAAATGCATGTGGGTCCCGAAATAAAATAGCTAAGGGGGGGCAGAGGTGGCTCTCCCTTAAAACCTTTAGCTTACTGGTTAGCTATTCACCCACGATATGGGAGACCCTGAGTTCAAGTTCTCCCCACATGGGAGGCAAAAGGGATTTGAACAGGGATCTGTCACCTCTCAGGTCAGTGCTCTAACTACTAGCTTATAGTCATTCTAACTCTTTCGCTGGCCCAATTAATAGTTAGTTTTTCAATGGCTTAACTAAAGTGGAACAACTTCAATAGGAGAGATTGAGGGAGCCCCACATCAGAACGTTCCATAAGCGCCCCCGCCCTGCTCCGCTATTTTGTGTGCACTTACTTGAGGGATTTGATTCACTACGCAGCCTCTGAGCACGCCTACCAGATCAGGCCCTTGCATGTGACTTAGGCTGCCAAATGCCCGTCTTCCCCAGTTTGCTAATTGCTCTGGGGCTTAGGGGGAGATAGGTGCACAGATGCCTAGACTGAGTCAGCAGTATGCATGCACAGAGGCAAAAACCATAAGTGTCCAGAGAATGTTTACTGTAAAAACATAGGTGCCAAGTGAGTTTAGGTGCATACAGGGTTAACCAGTGGTAGACTACAGTGGTGCCTAAACCTGTGACGTAGGCTCCAACATACCTCCATGGATCGCACCCATGACATAGAACAGGGGTCAGCAACCTATGGCATGTGTGCCAAAGGTGGCACAAGAGCTGATTTTCAGTGGTACTCTGTTGCTGGCCTGGGGTCCCGGCCGCCGGCCCCCTGCCAGCCCGCTGTCAGCCTGGGTGAACAGAACCCCACAACTAACAAATTAACTATCAAACCCCACCTGTTTAATCAGAGGCCAGCGGACGGAACCCCAGACAGGCAGTGGGCTGAGCGGGCTGGGGTTCCGGCCGCCAGCCCTGCTCAGCCCCCTGCCGGTCTGGGGTTCCAGCTGCCAGTCCCTTGCCAGCAGGGGTCCTAGCAGCTGGCCTGGGGACATTGGAAAACTCAGCAAGGAAAAGCAAGGGCAAGGCTCACACTAAACTGCATTTTAATTTAATTTTAAATGAAGCTTCTTAAACATTTTAAAAACCTTATTTATTTTACATACAATGATAGTTTAGTTATGTAATATAGACTTATAGAGAGAGACCTTCTAAAAACATTAAAATGTATTACTGGCATGCAAAACCTTAAATTACAGTGAATAAATGAAGACTTGGCACACCACTTTTGAAAGGTTGCCGACCCCTGATGTAGAAGCTTAGACATTGTGAGCCAGATTGTAAAGGTATGTAGGCGCCTAACTCACATTGATTTCAATAGGAATTAGCAGCAAAATACCTTTAAAAACCTGGCGCTGTAAATTTTATATTGAACCTAGCCCTGAAGAAGGAAAATACTTTTTGAAATGAACATGGGCACCGCTCTGCTATTGATCTGCATTCAAAACGCCCATTGACGTCAGTGGAAGTTCTGCCTGAGGAATGGTGGCAGGATCCCATTAGCATTCAAAATAGGGGGGTTGAATAATTGAAATTTTTATGAAAAGTGTCTGCTCTTCACAGAAAAAAATGATATTTTTGTTACAAACCAAAAAACCACCAAAAACAAATATTTGGGCTAAACTCCAAAATATTTTGGGTTGTGGCCACCATTTTTCAGTATTTGAATTTGTGCTGATTATTTTTTTTTCATTTTTGACTAAATTATTTTTGAGGGGGAAAACATTTTCGACCAGCTCTAGTTTTATACTATAATTTCTGTTCTTAAGCTATTTCTAAAATGTATTTTCTCTTAATTGCTCCTTTTGAAAGGTACTGGGTTGCTGTTCTAACCTTGTCATTTCTTCTCCATATTCCTGCTGGTGGTGGCATTACTATTGGCCCACTCTACTCTATTGTGATGTCTGAGTTGTGAATTTTATTCCTGTCTTGCTGTGGTTAATAACATCTGGTAACTTTTCTCATATTCACCATTTCAGGACAAAATGTCCTGCTCCATTTCTCATTGTAGGAACTGGGAGTGTTTCAGACTCTCAATTTTGATACCTATGTGAGCAGAGACGAGCAAAAGTTGCCAGTAACAATGAATTTCAATATTGAAATAGTTGACAATTGGACATAATCAGACAGAGCTGAATGATACTAATCAAATGTTTAAAACATTTTTGGAATGTGTTAAACTTTCTGATTTGGTCTATAGCAGTGTATGGTGTCAGCATGGCAAGTAGTTAACTTTGGCTTTCTTGTTTTTAGGTGACAAAAGATGAGTTTTTGAACTATTACGCTGGAGTTAGTGCATCTGTGGATAGTGATGCCTACTTCAATCTGATGATGAAGAAATCCTGGAAACTATGATTTTTGCTGTTACTACTTTTTGCAACAGAGACTGTAAAGAAGTGCAATGTTTTTCAGGAGTTCATTGTGGGTTTGATTTGTTTCCAGCTGATTCCTTGGGCTAGATTTTCAGAAACATGCAATGACATTGCACCTGCAAAATCAGTGGTTTCCCAATTAAATAACTCAACCCTTGCACATGCTTTAATATTTTCAGTAGGGGGCTCATAATAGGCAATTAACAAGCAGGGCTTAATGACAGTCAAAAGAACAGCGTGAGCTGGAGATGTGATAATCTATTTAAGCTGGCAATTGCATTTTCAGTGTAATCGCTTGTCTGTTGTATGGCCATTTATTAGATTTGTAATGTAGATATTCCTGACATATATAAAATCACTAATTTGTAATGTTTTGTTCTATTTACTGATCATCATAATAAGGGGTTTATTTGACTCTGAAATAATTTTGAACAATTATTTTTAAAGTTTCCTTTGTAAAACATTTTAACAAGTTTAAAAAGACAACCTCAAAAGCCTGCAACCGAAACAACAAATGCATAAAACAAAGAACAAATTAACTATCAAACCCCACCTGTTTAATCCAGTATAGATCATTTACATTTATGTTTTTACAAACATGAGCCCCAATCCCGCAACTACCTTAGCATGTGAGCAGTACAGTGGGATGAGTCACATGTGTAAAGTTACCCATAGTCATAAGCATATGCAAGATAGGGGCCATAGTTATGGTAAATGTTCTTTAAGACTTCTTGTGCTTCCATTGAAGTCAGTGGGAGTTTTTCTATTGAACTACAATGAATACAAGATTGAACTTCTTATCCAGGTTTGTTCCTCTAAAAATATACATACTTTTCCATATAACAGGTAATGTATTTATGGAGAAAAGGCTCACAATCAAGTTATATCTCTGTGTAAGCAAATAGGAGAAGACTGCCAAATTTGTCTATATGATCCCAACAACCTCATGTATATTTTTCCATCATGGGGTTGATTCTGAGCTTTGAGAGCTAGTTAGGGAATGCTATAATGGTAAAGCCCAGCACTGATATGGCTTCTGGATGTACTGTAACAAGTGCCTAGATTCTAGCATGTGTTGTGCGAGTGAGGGATAGATGTCATGAGGAACACTCGTTCCTTTTCTGTGCAGTCCATTTTGCACCCATCTCAGATTCAAGCCCTAAATCTGACACACCGTTCCATCTTTAAATGTCTGGGTAATCACCCAGTGGTAGAGACTGCGGTCAGCACCACGTATCTGTGAGGTGCAGAGCACCTGCAGCTCTCATGGAAGTCAGTGTTGCTCAGAACCATTCAGGATTTGGCCCGTCAAATGGAATTTGCCTGAGGAAGGACTAAGTGAAAACTGAGTAAGGAGCTGTGCTGACCCCGTGAGAGATGCAGATTAACAGCACCTAGCAAAATTGTTGGCTTGAATCTGCAAGCTGATGAACAATCCTTGGAAGTGCTGAATGTATACAATTCCCACTGACATCAGTGAGAGGAGACTGGGCTCAGTGCTTCCTTCTCTTCACCTGCAGGACTGAGACTTGAAACTATACTAAGCAGTGCCCTCAACTCACAATAATTTCAGTAGGAGATGGGCGTACTCAGCACCTCAATGGGAGCTGACTCCTGTTTGTATCTCTAGGTGCTTTAATACCTATTTAAATCTCACTCTCAGTCCCTTGCAAAAGGGGGCAAGATTTTGCATGACATAGAATTTACTTTGCTGATCCAGACATTTTCTGCATCTCATCCACTTAAATGCTTCTTGGTCCTGTGCAGGATTGGCTCCCATGTATATATCACGGATGTTAGAAGGCCTTTTATCCTCCTAATGAGGCATTGAGGCAAAGGTTTATTTTGCTATTGTTTCTGATGAACAAGTACAAGAGGAATAAGTTTGGTAAACAAACTAATAATGTCTGCTGGGAACAAATTGCGTCTTGGGAAGCAATTAACACTTCTGGCTCAGCGTCACTACAAACAGCTTTCACTCACTATTGATCTTTTTATTTACAGAGGTCAGTGTTTGTTTCACTGATAGGCAGATGGCTAGCAGAAGTTGTTTACACAGTGCAAACTAGGCTGCAAATAGATGGGAACATTGATGCACAAGGGAGCGTTGACTGGTGTGTGGGATGTTAGCATAAAAAACCACCAGAGGAGCCTGATAGATGTATGGCCCCATACATGTGGACCTATGTCAGACGTAGATGTGGCATAAATCTGCCACATACCAGTCAAACAATCTGACCAAACTCTGCTGACAGGAGAACCAACAGAACATGTCTGCCCACAAGTATGTAGCACAGGAGAAAAGAGTGTGGTTTGGGCAGGATGTGCTGAAAAAAAGATGTACATATATTCTATCTAATCTGGCATATGCAGACCTATTTAGTACCTGAGCCTGCACAGTGATCTGTGAAAAGTGGCTGAGCAAACTCCTCCACCTTTCAGCTGAACTAAGGAAACTGCATGAATTATTATAACTGCTGTGTAACCCTGTTACCCATTGGGGTTTGTGGGGACACACCCTCACGTCATTCTGGTGGAAGGACGTTTTCCATGATGTCATCCAGAATTTGGCCATGCATCAAAAATGCTGATAGTGCCACTTTTTTTAAGTGGATTTTTTTCCCAAAGGGGACCTGAAAAGTGTATCTAAAAATAATTCCATTATATTTTTTAATAATTCTGATGATACTTTGCATGTCCAGGTCTACACTCCCCTAAATGTGCAAGCACACACACAAAATTTCAGATGTGAATTCAAGGTGAGCACCTTGGAAAATCTCTAATTTAGGAGCCAAAATAATGGTCGATGGCCAGATTTTTAAAGGAAGTCCAGTGATAGCCATCAGGTGCCAAGCACGTCAGATAATCTGGTCCCCTCACATTAATGCTCAGATAGGGGCTGAGCTGTTTGGAAGATCTGTGCATGAAGGGCCTGATCCAGCATGCCTTGTAATCAATGGGAGCCTTTCCATTGATTTCACTGGGAATTGGATGGGATGCTTATATCGGTGCCTAGATTGGAGCTGTTGGGTGCTGGGCTCTTTTGAAAATCTTACCAGTTCGTGCCTAACTTTGGGCATCTGCTTTTTAAAATGTTGAGTACTGCTCTAATGGAACTAGTTCCTTATCCAGAGCCTACATTTCCTGTTTCAGCTGCAGCCCATGAAAATGTAGCCCCACATGGCTAACACTGATTGATGCCATGCAGTGATACATATAAGTAGCAAAGAAAGGCACTACTGATCTGTTCTACTGTAGGCTGTCAGTCGTAAATTTGTGTTTATTGGATAGCCGATTTCTCAGTTTACCGTTTAAATGTATTTTTTAAAGTTAAAAATATTATAATAGGTCACATCAACTAAGTATAGTCTGAGCCCAGCATCCAGCGACAGAATGTACAACTTTCTAATTGCACAAAACTGAACACCCTTGCCCCGCCCATTCTCTGAGGCCCCGCCCTGCTCACTCCATTCCCTTCCCCCCACTCATCACTCACTGTCCCCCACCCTCCCTCACTCACTCATTTTCACTGGGCTGGGAAGGGTCCCTTTTCGACCATGTGTTCCGGTTGAAAACCAGACACCGGGCAACCCTAACTGTTACAGCACTGCATGCTTATTGTTACTGTTGGTTCATCTTGGTCCAGATTGACCTCTGGAGCTGCCGGCCTGCAGAGTCTTTCTGGCCCTCCTGAGCTAGTGCAGCTGCAGATGTGGCAAGCCATTTCCAGGGAAGAGAATGCTTTTGCAAGTACCACTTAGGCCAGCACCATTACCAGCTCTACAGCAATTTTCATGTAGCACTGGAGGTAATGAGGGGGGATGACTCTTCCCTGAGTGAGTGTCTTTCAGTCAGGCTGGGAAGGAAAGGAAAGCAGGTTGTGTGTGTGGTGTCTGAGGTTCCTATCAGGATTGGGAACCCCTCCCACTGCCCTCACCTGTGATTGGGGTGAGAGGGTTCCTAAGCATAAACCCTAAAATCAAAGTTTTTCCTAAAAGCAAATCCCACAGAGACTGGGCTAAGATTTGTCCCTTTTCCCTCAAATGGAGTCATACAAAGGTGTGCAGGGTGCAGGGGATGAGGAGATTAGATTATTACAGCTCTACAGTCTGTTGTTAATTTCATGTTTTTCTCTCAGATTTACCCTGTTCAGGTTAGGATCTTTTTGTGTATATAATAGAATGATATATTATATTAATTTAGGATCTTTTGACTGGTTATGTGTGTGTGTGTGTGTATATATATATACACACACGCACTAAATTAAAAAACTAGCTTATTTCAAACATAACATTTAACCTCATTTCAGATTTCCTTTGTTTTTGAGGGATTGGCTAATGTGCTGTGAACCTTATTTATCTGTCTTGAATTTTAATATTTTGACACATATAAAATAATTTCATAGTAAAAATACATTAATTTAAATACTTTCAACATTAAATGCAAGTGATTTATTTCCCTGTAATTTTGGGGGCCATTTTTCACTTTTTCAGAGGCTTCCTCAGGCAGACAAAGCTGCTTCCTGCTGCCTTATTTTCACATTGCACTCATCCATCAAGGCAGCACCCTTTTTTGAGTAGCAGTTTAAAAGACTAGGGTAGTGCTTCTTAAACGTTTTTTATTGCACTAAACTTCTACAAAACTCTGTGGAACCTCTCAGTCAAAAATGATCAATGCTGCTTTTTCATGCTAGATTTTGCTATGATTAAAAATGGTATGTTATCAAAAGAACATAGCTTTAAATTAAGAAAAAAAAGGCGGGGGGAGGGAGGAGAGTTGGGGTAAGGGAGGGCCTTGAGGCTGTTTCTTCAGATAACAAGGGTAGATAGGGTCAGTCTTTATCTTACTCCTTTGTACAGTTAGAAAAATATAGAATCATAGAATCATAGAATATCAGGGTTGGAAGGGACCCCTGAAGGTCATCTAGTCCAACCCCCTGCTCGAAGCAGGACCAATTCCCAGTTAAATCATCCCAGCCAGGGCTTTGTCAAGCCTGACCTTAAAAACCTCTAAGGAAGGAGATTCTACCACCTCCCTAGGTAACGCATTCCAGTGTTTCACCACCCTCTTAGTGAAAAAGTTTTTCCTAATATCCAATCTAAACCTCCCCCACTGCAACTTGAGACCATTACTCCTCGTTCTGTCATCTGCTACCATTGAGAACAGTCTAGAGCCATCCTCTTTGGAACCCCCTTTCAGGTAGTTGAAAGCAGCTATCAAATCCCCCCTCATTCTTCTCTTCTGCAGGCTAAACAATCCCAGCTCCCTCAGCCTCTCCTCATAAGTCATGTGTTCTAGACCCCTAATCATTTTTGTTGCCCTTCGCTGGACTCTCTCCAATTTATCCACATCCTTCTTGAAGTGTGGGGCCCAAAACTGGACACAGTACTCCAGATGAGGCCTCACCAATGTCGAATAGAGGGGAACGATCACGTCCCTCGATCTGCTCGCTATGCCCCTACTTATACATCCCAAAATGCCATTGGCCTTCTTGGCAACAAGGGCACACTGCTGACTCATATCCAGCTTCTCGTCCACTGTCACCCCTAGGTCCTTTTCCGCAGAACTGCTGCCTAGCCATTCGGTCCCTAGTCTGTAGCTGTGCATTGGATTCTTCCATCCTAAGTGCAGGACCCTGCACTTAGCCTTATTGAACCTCATCAGATTTCTTTTGGCCCAATCCTCCAATTTGTCTAGGTCCTTCTGTATCCTATCCCTCCCCTCCAGCGTATCTACCACTCCTCCCATATAGCTTCATGACAAATGTTTGTTTCAAAATGCTGCCTTCTCAATGTCATGTTTAGAGCCAATATAAAAGCATGTTAATAGATCCTTATTTCTAACCAAAAATTCTTTTGTTGCAAAAGATAACAGCTTCAGATAACAAGTGGGGGCACGGCTGGGGTAGGGAAGGTAATCTTATTTTACTCCTACCTGCAGTTACTCAATTTACCTGGCTTTTGTCTTTTAAAATTTTTATTGTAAACAATGGGACTATCACATTCACCCCCCCCCAAATCTGACACCACCTTATCTGTTATTGGGAGTGGACTACATCCACCCTGATCGAATTGACCCTGTCAGCACTGGTTCTCCACTTGTGAGGTAATTCCCTTCTCTTCATGTGTCAGTATATTTATGTCTGCATCTGTAATTTTCACTCCATGCATCTGAAGAAGTGGGGTTTTTACCCACAAAAGCTTATGTTCAAATAAATCTGTTAGTCTTTAAGGTGCCACCAGACTCTTTGTTGTTTTTGTGGATACAGACTAACACGGCTATCCCCTGACACTTTACAAAGGCTATCCCTTAAACCAAAGTTACAAAGTTTAAATTGAAAGGCCTGCTTACAGCTGAAGTCAACAGGTGCTAATTTTCAATAAATGTCAAAGGCTCTAAAATACATTACTTTAAGTAGATGGAAAAAGTGAGATTGACATAAAGGTTAAACATGACTTTCATAAGGGTCTTTCTACCATTTTTAAAGACCAAGACTAGAGGAAATTTAACTCCTAATACAAAACTAAAAACAAATAAGGATATGTGCTATATTTACATACATTTTGTAAATAAACAATTCTATATGCATGCTCCTTTTGATTAGTGTGTTAAAAGTTTGTTAAAACTTTCCTTGGTTTCACATTTATATTAAAAAAAACAAACAGCAGGAAAGAAAAAAGCATGTGTGTGGAAGGGAAATTATATGGCAAGGAATGCTATAGAGCAGTTAACTACTAGTGCAAAGGTTGAATTTTTCCATAGCAGTCATTTGCTTTCATCTGCCTGAAACAGATGAGGCAGGAGTACATTTAATCAGCACAAGAGATTCAATGTACTCATTCAAATAAAAAAAAATACACATGAGGATTTCTTAGATGCACAGTCAGTGTCCAGCAAGACTCTGCCTGCTTATTGCAAACATAATTTATTCCTGGTACAGAATTTATGTCCCCTGCAGATTGTTTTTTTTCTCAACAGAAATATACATTCTGCTGGTGAGGTGCCGCAATTACACCTTTTGCCCATCAGGGGCTGCTGTGGCACCAGAAGAGAGGACAGCCAGCTAGGAGAGGGAGAGAGCAGCGGCTGCTTTTCTCACAGCCGCTTGCCTGCGGGGCCAGGTGAGGGGAGACGGGATATGGGGGATGCGGGCAGTGATGAGCTGCCAAAAGCTGTTCCCTCCTCACCCCACGAGGGGGTCGTGGCCCACCCCCGCCCCCCGGGACTCCTGCCCCATCCAACCCCCCACGTTCCTTGACGCGCCCCCCGCTGTGACCCCTTCCTCATCCACCCCCCTCCCCTGTCCCTTGACTGCCCCCAGAACCGGGCAGGAGGGTCTCCTGCGCCACTGTAGCGGGTGCCCACCCTGCCCCGCCCCAAGAGCCAGAGGCACCTGCCGGGGGGCGAGGTGGGGAGTCCCGGAGGTGCTTACCTGGGGCAGCTCCCAGGAAGCATCCGGCAGGTCCCTCAGGCTCCTAGGGGCAGGGGAGCGTAGCTGGGGGGGGAGCAGGGGGAGCGGCCGCTCCCCCCACCGATCACATCAAAAGTGGCGCCTTAGGCACCGACTCTGTGGGTGCTCCGGGGCTGGAGCCCCCACGGGGAGAATTTGGTGGGTGCAGAGCACCCCCCCGGCAGTTCCCCGCCCTGCGCCCAGCCCCAGCTCACCTCCGCTCCGCCTCCTCCCCTGAATGCGCCGCCCCGCTCTGCTTCTCTACCCCCCACCCCCACCCCGGCTTCCCGCGAATCAGCTGTTCGGCGGGAAGCCTGGAGGGCTGAGCAGCAGGCCGCGGCTTCCCGCTCAGGCTGAGGGTGGTGGACGTGAGCTGGGGTGGGGAGCGGTTCCCCAGCACGGTCCCATTCCCCCCCCCCCCGGGTTACCTGCTGCGGCGCGGGCGGCCCTCCTCGCGCCCCCCTTCCCCCCCCGCCCCAACTCACCTCTGCCTCCCTGGGCCTGAGCGGAAAGCCACGGCCTGTTTCTCAGCCCGCCCCGGCTTCCCATGTGAACAGCTGATTCGCAGGAAGCCTGGGGGCGCGGAGAAACAGAGCGGGGCGGCGCGTTCAGGGGAGGAGACGGAGGTGAGCTGGGGCTGGGGGTGGGGCAGGGAGCTGCCTATGGGTTCTCTGCACCCACCCAGTTTTCCCCTTGGGTGCTCCAGGGCTGGATCACTCATGGAGTCGGCGCCTAAGGCACCACTTTTGGCGGGTTAAATTTAGAAGCCCTTTTAGAACCAGTTGTCGCTCGTAGAACAACCAGTTCTAAAAGGGCTTCTGAATTTAACAACCGGTTCTAGCGAATCGGTGCGAACTGGCTCCAGCTCACCACTGGGTGGGCGGGATGGACAGAGCGGGGCACATGGGGCGGTGTCAGATAGACTGGGGTTCAGAAGGGGTAGTGGGGGGGACAGACTAGAGTAGGGGCTAGTGTGGTGACACCATTGACACAGGGGCTGAATGAGAGTGGGGGTGCAGGGACACACAATGACAGGGGGAAGGGGTTTCAGAGACACATGGGGACTGGGGGAAAGGGAGATTCAGGGAAAGACAAGGATGGGGGCAGATGTGCCTGAATGAATGGGAGAACTAATGGGGTGACACCACTGAGCCAGGGTCTGCATGGGGGAAGCTCCCCAACTCTCTAACAATCTCTCTCCATTCCACAATAAAACCCTGTTCCATACTTTTCCATCCCCACTCCCAACAACCCTCCAGGTTCATTCCCAGGCTCCCAGAAATTACTTCCCTCTCCCTCAGCTCCTCCATTATCCCTGACTCCTCCAAGCCTTTGCACTGCTTCTGAGGAATGCGGGAAATTCATTTCTGTGTTGTAGTTTAAATGAATTATTACTCAGAGTTCTGTATTAATATGCCTAGTAAGAAATCTGTTTGTTAAAAAACATTTCCTGAATCTTTTTGTTGTCTGTATTGTTAGAGACATACTTGCTGACAGGGCAACAAAATTAATTGAAAGTGGCGTGATTATTCTGTGTTATTTTGACAAATAAAATATGCAGAATTTTGCAGAAGTTTAAAATATTGTGAGCAGAATTTTTAATTTTTTGGTGCAGAATTCCCTACAAATTGTTACATAATGAAGACTATGAATGCCAACATCAGCACAAAGGGATACACAGGGAACTGTGGCACCAATCAAGGACCATGCTAATCTATATATGCTGTTTTGCATCACTGGCAGCTATGATATTTTTTCATTTAATAAGGAATCCAAGCATAATTCACTGTGCCCCTAGAAGCATCGCAATGCCAGAGGGCAAGGGGCTCACTGGTATCAGGTAGTGAATTTCAGCTGGCCTGACCAGTTCAGTGCACTCAAATTCATTGACGTCATAATCTGTATCCAATGGGTGTTGTGTAAGGTACCACTGAAAAACCAGTAACACACTGATCATTGATGCTCTTGCACAGTGCTGGTGTAGTATATGCTCAAAGGACTGCACAAATGTGAAGGAAACATGGGACTAAAATGTGTTTGAACCAGGTAAGTCTGGGGAGTGGCTAAATAGGCTTTTTCCAGACAAAGGAGAGGCCAACACATCCATCCAGGTGCAAACACAGTCAAGTGGCTATTCACTGGCACATCGGAGGCTGCGGGGACAGATCAATTTGCATTGTAGAAAGCACCAGTGGGGAGAAACCAGGGTGAAATCTTCTTCATCAGACTCCCAGGCACCTTGCCTTACAGCAGAGGCACTGAACGCTGGGAAGGATATAGTCCAAAAGTTCACTGGACTGTAGAAGAAAGGAGCAAAGAACCCCAAGTAATCTTTCATCTACAAAGACAAAGGAACTGAGCTCCTTGGACTTTGTGGGAGATCCTGACCAAGGGAGAGGTCAGCCATCTTGCTGGAAGGAGGTGTGGTAAGAATCTTACCTTGAACCAAGACCATAGCTTTGTTAAGTCTTAGTCATTAGACAGCATTTTGTTTTTTAACCATTTCTGACTTTATTCCTTATACCTGGCCTCACTTAAAACCA